GGAGCGAACATTTAAACTAGGGTTGTTGGCGGACGGTTAACCGAACCGGAACCGGAACCGTTAACCGGTGTTTTTGGCGAATTAACCGGAACCGAAAACCGGGGGTCGAAAACCGGCGATAACCGAAAACCGGTGACCAAAACCGCCCGGTTTCGGTTTTAAAGATACACCCCTAAATATGGAATTTTTTGTGATTTTTAGGAAATATTAACTCCCAAAATATAGTCGCCAAATTATTTCCTTCCTTTTCTTTTTCGTTAAATATAATTTCTTTCAGTCTTATTACATGAAACGTGTAGTTAAATGGTTTAGTTGTTGAACTTTAACGATAAAAGTCTAAATATCGTTTCGTTTTTGAGTCGGGCCGACGGTCGAGGCATTTTTTTCGGGCTTGTTTTTATCAAGTCGGGCCTATACGAGTCTTTTTCGTGCCAAATATATTAGGCCCGACTCAATCTTTCGGTCCGGCGCAAAAAAAGAAGATTTTTCACTTTAATATTCTTTGGGGTGGGGTTCAAATCCATGATCGGACGTAAAATCTTTCAACGACGCCTCTTAATCACAATTATTTATCAACTCACTTGATATCTTCTCATCCTCTTAATCCCCCGATCCTCTATATTAATCCACACACCGATCATCGATATACCCAAATCCCTCTACTCTCCTAATATTCAAAATCAGCCAACGTTATCTCGCCATATACCCTTTAATTCCTCGAATTGTTGAAATTTGTAAATTATTCAGCTCCTAGTGTATCGAATATTTATTTAAAAGAGTTAGAATGTGACAACATCTTAATGTGATATTCTGGATGAAAATTTGTTCAAAAACCGGTCCCGGTTAACCAAAAACCGGGGGTAAATCGAAAACCGGAACCGAAAACCGGGGGTCAAAAACCGGCGATAACCGAAAACCGAGGGTACCGGTTAATACCCGGTCGTCAACAACCCTAATTTAAACTTTCTAGGAGCGAACATTTTAGTATGCGGGATGAGTTATGACCGTGTAGTCCAAGTCTGGAATCCTTTAGCCGGACCGAATCCGAACGTTCCACAACGAAAGCGTAGTGTGTCTGTCCTTGTCATTTGTGATATTAATGTATAAAAATTATCAATGCTCGTTTTAATTTCTGATATCTGAATATTCTTCCAAAAAATATTTTCCTTTTCTTATTATTAAGTTTATTCATGTTGAAAAATAAATATTTAAAATTAACAAAACAAACAATTTATTTTAGACTTATTGTGTAATAAACTAACAATAATTGTTAATCTACTAATAATTTAGCAGCATTTATGCATGAATGGTAAATTACATAACATATATTTATATTTCTATTGTTTTTTTAGCTGATTTATAGGCAAAAATAACAATTAACAAATATTTTAGAAAAAATAACAAATATAAAATTTAAATTAAATAAATTAGTTATTGCAATAAATATTTTAAATGTTTAAATTAATTTACGGAAAAAATGTTGGGATATACAAGAAAGGGAATTTTAAAAAAATTTTTTAAAAATTGACAATGGAACATTGTTTGCAGGGAAACATCTGTGTTTAATTTTTAACCTTCCCAACATTTAAATAATATAAATTCTTTTTCGGTAAAAAAACCATAGAAACATTTTTTCTGTTAAGTTTAAACTTCAAATATCTTCCTGTCTCGTCAACAAAAACAATGGAAATAAAAAAATATATTTATTAAAATTTGTAGAGAAAGATGACACTCAAAATTTTAACTTGACCAAAAATTATTTACTCATTATATTTTCTAAGAATGCCAAATAAAGTAACACAAAATTTATATAAAATAGTGTCAAAAAGCGGATAAACCTATAATCATTTCATAAGAAGGCAACAAACAAATAAGGGGACAGACATGGCACAAAATACATGGACAATAGAAAAAATTTTTATAAGAAGAATGGATTTTAAAGAAAAATAGGAAAATTGAAGGATTAATGATTGTCTAGTTTTTGGAAATTTATTTGGAATTTGGAAATATTTTTCAAATTTATTAAACAAATATAGGTATGTATCACAAGCCTTTAGTGGCCGGTAAACTTATTTTACCGGATCTGGAGCGGGATATTGAAATTCGTGGACATGCCGGACAGCGTCCTGTCGGATTCTCGACGAAAAGTAATTTAAATTAATGAAGAATAATTAATTTTGAACTTATTTTACAATGGTTAATTTTTGGCAAAAATTAGATATAATTGATAAATATTTATATTTTTCATCGAAAATTCTAAAATTTTGGACACAAATTATTGAAAATAAGAATTAATTAATGAAAAATGATTTTTCAATTTAAAAATTGCCATTTTTTATTTTAACTTAATTTTTCTCTAATTTACTTCGTTTTTCTTTTTTCCACACTCTCAAAACCCATATATCAACAACTTTAAATTAGCCAATTAGATATAGCCAATTATGCGTCTTTTTTGTCATTTGCCGATATTTTTATATGACAGGGCAAATTCTTTTGTAAAAATAATTGGAAAATTTAGAAAAAATGATTTAATATTCTAAATTATTTTTCTTTCCTTTCTTCCATTTATGACAATAAAAAAATAAGAAAAATGTGTGAAAAAGTAGGCAGGTGGTAGAGAATTTCTTTTTATTTTTTAATCATCTCTCCGTGGATCATTACACGTTGAAATTTATTGCTGCCTGAAGAGAGAACTGAGGAATTAAATTTTTATATGTTGAGCGAAAATTGAGAAACAAAAATGCAATAAAATGACAGTAACCGAAAGAAAAGGAATTAAAAATTATAATTTATTTAAAAATTTTTTTTAATTATTTTATAAATATTTAAATAAAAACAATTTTGGAAAAATTTTTTTAAAATATGTACAGTAGGGATCTAGCCGACCCGATGTCCCGAAAATCGGGAATTGAATTTTTATGTCGGCTAAATGCCTGATGTACAGTCAAATCTCAGTTTTATGGCACTCCACTTGTACATATTTTACACAGTCACTTTTCTGTTTGAGAGGTGACATACGTCTAACAATAAGATTCGACTGTACATAATAAAATTAAAATATTTTCTTCAGAAAAAAACTGAGAAATACTTTTGGAATTTTTCCATTTTTATTTAGAAAATCTTACTTTTATCTGACAAATTATTTTATTTGTACTTTTTAAGAACATAAGAATCTAGATTTGTCAGAAAATTCGTTTAATTAATTATTAAATTTATTTTTTATAAGATAACCCTCCTATTTAAAAATATCCTTAGAAAATGATAATTAAAAAATATTTTTTATCTAATAAACTACCCCCTTACATATTTAAAATTAAATTATATATTTTATTTATTTTCTTGACTTTTTCCCATTGTTATAACGAGAATGACAAATCATTCTAAATCCATTAATTATTATTTTTATTTTTCCCACTTCAATATCACACCATGACTCCCTCTCTCCTTTTCTTAAATTTTAATTCTACTCTCTCAACACAATGGCTATATATTGTAAATAAATTTTATGGTAACTCACAACATTATTTTTTGGGGGAGAAAAGTGTGTGGGCTAAGAACCCTTTTAGAGGATTAGAGGGGAAAGAAAAGATTTTTTGAGTATTTCTCTCTCTCAAGTCGAAGTCACTCCAAGCGCCAGCTTTTCTTAGTTTACTCTAACCGGATTAACGGATCATCAGTCCTTCAAAAAGCCCTCTTCCCTACCCTCAAAATAAGAAGGGAATTTTGATTATTAAATAAATTATTTATAGAAATAATGTACTCAATTAAATAGAAAAATGTTTTTGAAAAAATAATCTTTAAATAAATAAATATTTTAAAATGCGAGAATAAGGTATTGTTTTGAGAATGTACATAGTTTTTGTGAACAAACAAGATTCATAAAAAAGTTGCGAGGACGAATAGTGAATAAAAGGTGTTTTAAGAGAAAATTTTGGAAAGAATTGTATCAAGTTTTAGAATAAATTTTATCAAAATTTTAAAATTAGTACTTGAAAAAATATTATAATTACTAAAAGTAAATTTTTCTTCACAATCTATAGATATAAAAAATAAAACCTTGTAAAAATAAAACCTTAAAATAAGGGGTATATCAAATTAGTGAATCCCTTTGATAACTCCCCCACAAAATGACCAATTTCTAGATCTAAAACAAGCTAAATTAAATCAAACGTCATCTAATTTTGGGGGTATCTCGAAACAAGTCTTGAGAATTATTAACGAGATTCTCTGAATTTATTCAAAAATAAATTAAAATGATGCCAATAAATATAATAAAAAAATTCTTCTAAAATTTTTTCTAATCGTCGGGGGCAATTTCATCGTTTGATTCATCGTTATTTTCTGTACATTTTTCACTTTCAACAAAATTATCGTTAGATGTTGTAGCAGCAAAAAGGGGAGGAAATTTTGAGGTAGGAATTAAAGAAGTGCCTTAAAGCCAAAATAAATTTTAAAAAATATTTAAAAATAATTTTACAATTTTGAGTTTGTTGATCTTGAAAAATAGGTAGAGAAGGCAATCTATTTGTTTGTATTCCAAAAGCCAAAAGTTGTTGGACTGAAGCAAAATTTTCTACAAACTGATTTGTTGTTATTAATTGATGATTGGCTTCATGATTAATACTTGAGCTTTCCTGGCTATTTTTTAATTGACCCTTTAAATTGTTATGATTTTAGACGAGAAAATAGATAGGTAATTCTTTTAAAAAATATAACAAAATTTAAGTCGAACAATACTTCGAAGCTAATTCTCTCTAGGATACCTCAACTGGACAGAAAAAATCTTATGGACTTTTCCATTGTGTGTACCATTACTCTATGACAATGGAAGAGTCCATAAGATTTCCATATAAAAATTTTTTGGGAATATATTGGACTTATTTTTTAACTATTTTTTAACCGTTAGATCCTTCGAGAAACAAGATAAGTTATCTGGGAAACCTAGATTACATGCTTAAAAAATAATATAAAGACAATTGGTAATTGGAAAAAGTCAAAAATTAGAGGGGAAAATAGGGAAATAAGTTTAAATACAGCTTAATTTTCCCCGTAAGGACCCAAGCTAACCACTGTCTAATATATTTTACCTGATTCTTTTTTTGACATTTTTTTCTACCATTCTGACTACTATTTGAAAATTCCTCAATTTTATTATTTAATGTTTCATTTAGTTGTGGACAATTTTGGAAGAATAAAGGTTGGAAAAGTAAATTTTGTTGTAAGGGGATTTGAAGGGAAATGTTTGGCTGTTGAGGTTGAATTAATAAATTATTATTTGAATTTGTTTGTTGTTCTTGTTGATTAATAAATAAATTATTGCTAGTTTTTGATACTAAAATAATTATTTTTTAGAACAAATTATAGAAACAAAAAAATTTTAAAATTTAGATAAAAAAATCTCCGTGAAAATATTTTTCTTTTAAAATTTTCCAAACTGATTTTTTACCTTCAAAATTATTTCCTTCATTTTCTTCCGACATTTTGTTATTTTTAATTTGTTCTTTTAAACTTTCATTTTCAGATTTAAGATGAAGTAATTCTTTATTTAAATGTCTAATCCTGAAATTTAAAAAATAAAATCGTTAAGAATTATTATAATTATTAAAAATTAATAATTATTTAATGTGATCCTTAGGAATTAATTTTTTGTTGATTTTTTAAATAATATTGGATATCCAAAAAATAAATGAGTTGTGATATTTGAAGATACACAAAGGGATAACAATTTTTTAGTTTCAAAAACTCCCTTGTCTCAAAATTGTTTTCAATATTTTAACAAATATAATTAAATTCCCCACCAATTTGTTGCTAAAATTATTGTATTTATTTTACTCAATTTTCTTGCATTATTTTGTTTAAATTGCTGTTTAGATTGTTTTTCGTCGTTCTGTTCTTTTTGTTGTTGGAATATATCTGTATATGGTAATACTCTTCTCAATTCATCCAATTCAACATTTATATCTTAAGTTTTATGATTTTTTTTAAAAATTCCAAAAATATTTTTTAAATTAAGTTAATAAAAATTGAAAATTTCTTAATAAATTTAGATTCAGATTTTGAGTTGATTAAAAAACACAGTCATGCCTTCTTATTAAATTCTTGTATTAAATAAACCTCAACCGATTTAAGATAAGTTCTTAAAATTCAATTTAAAGTCTGTCTACATGATACCCTCTATTTTAGTTAACTTTCATTATAAAATACGTTTTCAGCCCTAATTGTGTATCTTGTAATTGTGTATCTACCTATAGATATTAAGCTTTAAATTTAATTTTCTTACGATTTTAAATTTAAATTAGGTAAAAAAATAATTATTTACCATGCATTCTTTTTCGTTCTCGACTATTTATATTAGTTCGAAGAATATTTTGTTCCTAAAAAATAATTTTAAATTTATTTAGGTTAAAGACCTCTTCATTTAAATTATTTAATCTTTTTCTACTTCTTTCTGATGATGAACCAGAATTATGCCTTTTACGTACGTATGGTTCAATCTTCTCTTTAGCTAATTGTGCAAAATTCCTCTAAAATAATCTTTTGAATTTTTTTACAAAACAAAAAATATTGAAATAAAATATGCCCAATAAGGTATGTTAAGAAATTATATGAACACCCATATTTTTCTTGTTTTTCTGAGTTCCTGGAGGTTTATCGCATATACTATAGCAGTGATGATAAGGTTTACTCTAAACCCAATCCAAAGAAAATTTTGAAAACCCAATACCTACCCCGACGCGCTTTTTTCTCAACCCGGCCCATCCTTAATGTTAGCTTATTTTCAAATAATGTATAATCTAAAAGTTGCAAGGAATTAATAGTCAGATATTAATATTTTCCAATTAGAATTGATTTTGATTAAGTCAACTAAAATTGCCATTAAATCAAAAAAACAATTAAAATTTCTGAAAGAAAACCTTTCCATTAATTGGTTCACTTAATTTGTTTTGTTGCAATTTTTTATTATTAATTAAATGACCCTTTTTATTATTTAATTCTAAAATATTTAGGTCTGTTGAAGACGAAGGTATCATTGAAATAATAGATGAATTGGTAAATATCTTAGAGATATCAATTTGGTTGTTGGGGTTATTTGTTTGTTCAATATTTTTTGATAAATTAGATAAAAATGAGGAAGAATTATTGGGAGTTTTTGAAGTAATTTCCATTTTTTAATTAATTTTGATAAATTTTCAATTGTCTACTTTTGATAAAGTTTCAATTAGAGAAATATCTAATTTAAATTTAATAAAATCTTAAAGAAATAATAAAATGAATACGAATTTTAAAACACAAAAAATTAATTTATTTTCTTAACATTAAATAAAATTATAAAAACAATTAAACTAATCCCATACTATCTTCAGAGAAATTTTCTAAAAAATAGCACTACGGTTTTTGATTTGGCAAAGTTGTAAGCAGTGTTTGGAAGCTCGTACCAAAACTAGTATTTGCTCGTACTTGATGCGAAATAAGAGTACTAGCAAGCCAAAAATATGGATAGTAAGGAAGTTTTTGCTCGTACTCTTAGTTTGCATCAAGTACGAGCATGTACGTGTTTGTACGAGCTTCCAAAGTCGATGGGATCGGATTTCAAATGAGATTTCATACTTTTCTTGAATTAAATAAGAAACTGTTTTAATGTTTCTAGCAAACCGGTATAATTCTAACCCTAAAGGATATTTTGCATAGACAGAAAATTTTGATAAAAATTTTGAAATCACAAAAAGAAATTTAAAAAATTTTTATCCTTCTTATTTAGAAAAGGTATTGTTATAAATATTTTTAACAATTGTGAAAATACAATGTTGAAAATTATGAAATGACAATATGAACAAATGGGCGTAACTGCCATTAAATAAAATGATGTATGTAAATAGGTTTGGATTTACTATAATATGGGCGTTCCTTTCGACAAGTAAATGAAGGAATATAATTTTAAGGATTTTAAAATTTAATTGGAAAGATATTTTTAGAATATTTTAATAATCATCATATTAGAAATTCAGAAATTTGTACTGTATTTTTGACTAACACATGGTCATTGTAATAAATATTATTATTACAGCTTTTATTATATTCATCAGAAAATACCCTAATCAAGTAACTTAAATTCTCAAATAGTGTGAATTCTTTATCTTTAGTTTATTCAAAATATCAAAATTCCTGTCGGCTCTGACGCCTAATGGCAAAAATTTCTATAAAAGTGATGATTAGTTATGCACACGAAATGAACGAAAATCTTGACAAATAAATTTAGCCTGTGGTGAGGAGATAAATATGTATGTAAATTTCTTATTTAGTAATACTCATTAAATCATAAAGAGTGCCGAACTTTTGAAGCCCTGGCACTTGATGCTACATAACATTTTTGGGGGAAAAATATAAAAGGATATTTTCAATTCCAAAAAAACAATATGAGGTTTAAAGCAGGTATCAAAAATTTTACATATATAATTAAAACAACGAATATTAAAATCGGCCAAATTTTTGAACAAGTTATTGCCACTAACATGTTTCAAGCTAAATTATAATTAGTTTTAACAACAATTTTACTTTATTGTCACAAATTTATTCAAAATTTATATCATTTTATGAATTGTGTTTTTCTAAATTTATATCCTTTAGTATGTCATTTTTATCACTGACTTTATGTGTTAAATTGATGTGAGTCTTCGATTTTTTATAAAAATTTAAATTATTAAAGGTAAATTTTATAAAAAAATTTATTTTATTTTTTTAAATAAAAATTTACCTATTTTATAAATTTATAGTATGATAAACTTTGCACCATTCAAAGTTTAATAAAAAAAATTTTGTTATAAAATATTTAACAAATATTAAAATATGTTTGATTATAAATTGTAACAATTTTTGCATAATTAATAACTTGCATTAAATAACTTTAAATAAATATTTTATTTTAATTAATCACTTAAACTACTTTTTGCAAAATATTTTCATCGTTGTGTGCTATTAACTTGAATAGCTCAAGACCGGTTTGAAAATTTAATAGTACAAGCTAGCTAGAACTAATTGTCTTCACTGTTAAATTATGTTTGTGCAATATCACCCTCAAAGTAAACACAACTGGGAAGTCAAATTTGGCCACAATTATCTACATAATTAACTAAATGTATTCAAGAACTACACAAAAACAATCACTAACTACCATTTGTCTAAGGCTGCAAGCTGAAGATTGGCTTGAGATTGGAATCATAATCATTGCACCGAAATTAAAAATTTGCTCGTACTTGTACTTCGTACATCCCCTAATTTTGACTTCGTAAATACGAAGTACTAGTATAAATTTTGATACGAGTGTCGAAGGTCATAAACTAATTTAAATTGTAGTAAAATTCATTTTAAAATTAAAATATTTTTTTAATTTAAATTACCTTTACTGTGAAGTTTTTAATTAAATTATACTACATAGTTGCATTTACGTATTATATTACTGCTAGGCCAATGACCAAACTCTCTGTGGGGGAGAATTTAAATTACAAAAAAAGGGGAAAGAAAACACGTAAGCATTTCATCATCGTTTTTAGAACCGCCAAAAAAACTTTAATTATTATTATCAATTTATACAATTAAATATTGCTTGATGACGATTTTATATATTTTTTTTGTATATTTATTTATCATTTATTTATGACCTTCAATCGTTTTCTTTTATTTTTATTGCAATATTTGATTCTACCAGTTTAAAGATTTTTTCTACATTTTTTATTTAATTTTTTTTGGAATTTTTTTACAAATATTTATTTTAATAAAAAGAATTTTCTCATTAAATAATTTTTTTTAAATTTCTATAAATATTTAGCAGTAAAAATAAATATTTTTTGAAAGAATATTTAGTCTAGATTACTAAAAAATATTTTTTATTCAATTATTTTCATTTAAAAATTTTTTTTAACTTTTTTAGGACAGTCAGATAGATTTCACGTCACCCTTTCGGAAATAGAAATCTGACGTGAAATAATAGGGCAGATAAGACGAGAGTGAACAAGGGGTCGTTCGGAAATAATGAAGGTTTCGGAAATTGGAACTGTCGGAAATCGTAAATGACTCAAAAGTCGGAAATCGGAAGCTTGAAGTGAACAAAAATCAAAGGAAAACTTTCGTAAGAGTAAGATAATTATGGTGACGTAAAATTTAAGTTTTTGACTGTATTTTATTTTTAATTAAGAAAAAAAAATATTTTTTTAAATAAATAATAAATAAAGATTAAAATTTATTATTTTAATGACATAATTCAGGGCTCCGATTCGTACTTTTTTAAAAGTATTGTACTTTTTTATCGACCTTCGTACTTCCGAAATTGAATTTGTACTTTTTTGAAAGTATGTACTTTTTTATCAACATTTTTGAAAAAACGAAGAAATCTGGCTTAAGGACCTCCAAAATTCTCAAAATTTTCGCCTGCGGCGCAAAAAATGGAAGAAATCTGGCTTAAGGACCTCCAAAATTCTCAAAATTT